TTAGACATATAAGTAGCATATATATGTGTATGCATGTATGTGTGTGTGTGTGTTTAATTAAAATTTATAACTTAATCGCTAATTAAGGAAACCACAATAATTTCAATTTAAGTTTTTAAAGCACAAAACAAAAAACTTGCTAGTTTTCATACTCTTCTTCTTCTAGTTCAAGGACAATAATACAAATCAAAAGTTGTGTGTGTGGGGGGAAGGGGGACATGTGTATGGGCATTAATTTCTTTGAAGAATTGCACAATCGCATTGGGGGATGGTGGGAGGTGGTGTATTGAATTATATCTTTTTTGTCACATGGAGTGAGAGAGAAATATGAACAAAATACTGACAAGATTTGATAAACGGTAAAAAAAAAAAAAAAACATTTAATGAGAATTCTTAGTTTTTTAAATCTTAAGTTAAATTTGGTTTCGGAAAAAATACTGAATTAAAAAAAAAAGAGAAAACATTAGGGATATGCACGCCTAGCAATAGCTGAAATGAAAATGTTTGTATATATAGATTTAAATAGAATTTCGAATGAAAGCGGAAAATTCAACTGTAAACGAGATCAAAGGCAAACCGAATATTGTAAGGCGTGCAGAAACACATATAGTAAGAGAGCGCAATACAATGTTAGACAGAGAGAGGGACACACATATAGAGAGAGAGTGAGAGAGATAGAGATAGACTAGAAGCAAATTTCAAGGCAATTTCTAAACGAACTGCACACCAAAACACAGAGAGACGGAGATAGATAGAGACAGAGCAAGACAGACAGACACGGTTCGTGTAAATTGCTTTTGTGTGTGTGTGTGTGTGAAAGAGACAGTAAGCTATATATACTCGTACATCATATAGCAGAGCAAATGCTGCTTTATCCATATTTCATTTCCTTTTTTTTTTGCTTTTTTGATTTAGTTTTAGTTTTTTTTTGTTTTTGTTTTTTTTTTTTCCTTTTTCAATTATATAGAAACAACTACAAAATACAGTTACAAATACGTTTTACACATTGATTTAGTTTAAGATCACGTTAAGATCACGAGCGCGACAGAGATA